CGAAAGAACATAAAAAAGCGGCTAATTTTCGTACTTGTCAATTGAGATTGTCTTCATTATATTCAAATTATTTTGATAATAAATAAGTGCAAGACAATAACCAAATATATAAGAAGATAGAGAATTTCAAGCGCTATCAGAATATATGATTGCTTTTTTAAAAAGATAATTCTATAGTGATAAAAAATTCCAAAAATTTATTTTGATGACAATGACAAAATCAAGCCCATGAGAACCGGGATATGAGGGTGTCTTTGTTGTATGAAATTTATTTTCATAATAAATAGATCTAAATGAAGAGCTAATTATACAGAGTGATAGAAAACTCCACGGACTTGCAGAATATATCATTATTTTTTAAAAGATGTCTTATTATCGAAAAGATTTCTTTAAAATACTGAATGCAGTTTCTTTTTTCCGAGGGTATATATAAATACTTTGAAAAAATAGAACAATCCACAAACAATCTAAAGGTTTTTTAGAACGATTTAGTGATAATAATCATTTTACAGAACTTTTCTTTGCATTCTAAATATGAATAATGAACTTATTAGCATGAAGACAAATGTTCATTAAAAAAAAATCAGTTTAAGAAAATCAGATATATAGTTGTACTTCTCTTGAATAAATACGGAAGAAAAATCGATTTGCAGGTAATTTATACTTTTTTCTACTGTTTAAGATTAAAAGAAACTTATTTGTATTTTTTGATTATTTTCATCTGTCAAAACATAATATATTGATAACCAATAGAATAAACAAAGATTTATTTGTGGTCTTCTATTTTCGATTGTCATCGTTTTCATATTGAGCATTTACATTGTCACCTATTTTGGCCAACGCAATTTTTTCTTAGAATAGTATACGAACAACTAAGTAGAACTATGTCAATTCAATAAAAATATCATACGATGCAAAAGTAATGGCACAAGATGTCAGTCCCTGGTTTTTCTTATAGACAGAACTATGGAAAGAAGAATTTTTTTATCATTCGATAGGAAATTTTCTCCTCTTTCAACCTGTATATTACTTGTTTTTATCAGGTACTTATAAGCAAAATAGCAAAAGAAGAACGACTGACACCTTAAAAACAATTCCGTACTTTTCATATATTTCGAAATAATGGTAAAAAATGTCGATCCTTATATCTCGTCTTTGAATACGTGCCAGAATGGTTATTTTTTGATCAGCTGATAGGAAATTTTTCGCTCTTTCCAACTGTATATAATTTGTTTTCGTCAAACATTCACCAGCAAAGTGACACGTGAAAAAAGAGAAGCTCTAGCTCAACGGACGTGCTCTCTTTTCTGAGCACGTTCACACTCATCTAATCTAGCAGATGCGTCCTAGCGCATCAGATATTTCACTATACGTTCAGATGCATTTGGATGCGTTCGGATTTTCAACGTGTTTGAATGCGTCAGATGTTTTATTGCATGTGTAGATGCGTTCAGGCGCATGAGATGTTCCATTTTAGATGCGTCTAAACGCGCTTCAAAATGTGTTTAGACTCGAAACATTTTCACATGGGCGGAGTTGTTTTTAAGGTGTCAGTTTTTCTTCTCTTGCTGTTTTGCTTATAAGTATATGATAAAAGCAAGTAATATACAGGTCGAAAGAGGAGAAAATTTCCTATCGAATGATAAAAAAATTTTTCTTTCCACAGTCCGTCTATAAGAAAACACAGGGACTGACATCTTGTGCCATTACTTTTGCATCGTGTGATATATTAGACAAATTTTATTATAAACATGAGGAAGACATAGAATAATATGAATGATAAAATATCGGAACGTTTTCAATTTCAAATTTTTTAGTTAAAATATTGCAACTTTAAGCATAAAACCTCTAAAATCAATATATTACAATTTATGATCGTATATCATTCATAGAAATACACTAATTCGATGTCTATTAATATACAATAAAAAGAATTTTTATTGACTATATTTAAATATTATTTGTCATTAAAATAAAATCTTGAGAACAGTATTAAAAAACAAAAGCGTAACGATCAAAAAGTGTTGATAAAATTTCTTTCGAAAAAAAAAATAACATTGCATTTATAAACTGAACTCCATTAGACAAATATAACATATTCAAAATTGTATCTCTCTATAAACATAGAAATCAAGTTTTATTCTACAAAAATATTACACCAATATGCGTGTCTCAGTCTAGAACCAAGTGAAACAAGTCTCGGTGAAAGTTTCTTGTTGGTATAAAAATTCAAATACAAATAGATGTCGGGTTTGATATATCAAAAATATATTAAGTAATTAAACATAGCTTTTCTTATTTGATTATTCTTCTTATTCGATTGTTTCTATTGAAATGTAAAAAAATTAATAATAAACAAATTTGCTCTTGTTGAACTCTCTTGAGATTTATTTATCAATAATATCAATATGCATCTCCATAGAAACAAACTTGATTATGTCCGTTCTTTTCTTTTTTTAAATCGAAATGTAAATGAAGTCAGAAAAGAAAGAAAAGAAAAATAATTCAATAACATTGTTGTTGAACAAGTTAACTTGTTTATAAAATAAAAACTCAACATTTGACATCGTTTTGAAGACCTTCATAAATACAAATAAATACTTGTCTATATTAATAAAATATTTTATATTTCAGATATTTTCAAAAAAAATATCTCATTCTAACATTTGAATCGTCACTCACGTAAGAAATTATATATAAATATAAATTGTTTTTTCAAGTGATCGAGACGACAAGAATGTCATAACAAACAAATTTATATATTGAAATGTAGTGGTTTTTTTTTTCTTCAATAATCATTTGATAATACATTAGAAAATCTTTCTCATTTTCTCTAAACAACTTTAGAATTTTTGATGAATTTTATTAGATTTGTATTACATGTTCGATATTAATTATGATAATCTTAAATGTAGTTTTCAACGGATTCATTCATGTCAATTATTCCTTGAAAAGAATCATCAAAGGTTTGCTTAACAATTCAATCATAGTTCAACAGTATTCAAAAATAAATCTTAAAAAAAAAAAAAAACAAACGTTTTACATATTGTAATTCAAGTGAATAAGAGAAAAACAAAATTGAATCGAATAAAAATATTTTCATTATAGAAACTAAAATAAAAAAAGAATGACTAAACAATTCCTTTTTAGTAAGGTGTCAGTAACTCAAAAAGTGACCAAAAAAACAATATCAATTGCGATATTTTTACATGGTTCAATAGAGCTAAATGAGTTCTACAAGAATATGTATATGAAAAATTTTTTAAGGACGAAATGGTCGGAAAAACCCTACAAAAAAGCATTAGCACCAATAGCATAAAATCTTGCTAGCTTAAAGATTCACGAGACCCTTTTACTCAATATGAGGAAAAAAAAGGTATGGATTCTTTTCATTTTAAGTTTGAGCGCTATTAAGAAAACTTATTTCTTTCATACCGCGGGCGCCATTGTCACAAAATATGTTTGTTTTTTAAGATTTTGCTTATCAAATATTAGTCGTCGTACAAAATAAATACAATTTTTGGGATGACCACCAAAAACTGCATTGTATGGCTTAGACTTTTATCAAAGTATATTTTTCAACAAAACTCGATCCACGGGAGGTGGCAGAGTAAAATTGATTCAAAATAATTGAGAGAAAAGTACAGACAGAATTTAAACAGAAAATGTTTGTTGATAAAATCTAAGTTGTAAAATACAATTGTTTATATTGATCCAAAAAATTATATTTATTTTGCATAAAAACTAATATTTGACAGGTAAAATTTTGAAATTGTAATCATATTTTGTGATTATTTCGTCAGAACTAAAAGAATACATAAATTCTTTTTGAGCTTCATATTAAGTAGTAACAAGAAAAAATATCTTGTAAATCTCAAAGCTAGCAAAACTTGATGCTGATGTATTTTTGTAGAGTTCGTAAAGAGATCTCGGTTAGACTAGAAAAAGTCTAAAAGAATTCGTCCCTATAAGCCTTTGGAGTTGAGTTATGGCCGTTATATTGAATTTTCGACTCAATTTTAGGTATTTACTGAAAAATCAAATAAGTGTATTTCGACCTGAAATTTTGGCCATAAATAGATCGAATGACTAGTAGAATATCTTGAATGTTTCCAGATGAAAAGAATGTTCCTTTATCGAACTATTGAATTTTCAAGTAAACTCGATTTTTGTGACATATCTGTAGTAAACGATCATTTTTTGAAAGTTTAATACCTCGATCAAGGAACATTCTTTTCATCTGAAATTTTCAGTATGTTCTAAGAATCATTGAATTTATCTATGTGCGCAATTTCATCTCGAAACACTGTTTTTTGATTTTTCGGTGCATACCTACAGCTGGATCAAAAATTCAGTAAATCGGCCATAACTAGACTTCAAATGTCCATGGGGACAAACTCTTTTAGACTTTTGCTAGTGTTAATAAAATGTCCTTGTAGACGCAATATGAGCTCAAACAACGGGCATCAGTTTGGATAGTCTCCTAAACTATTCGTACTTGACACTAATTGTATTCAATGGTGCTTTAGATTAGATAAAAATGTTCCGTTTCACAAGTACCTTTAAGCAATAGAAGTTTCCGTGAATTCTCTTGATTAATATTAACGTATCTAAATATAGAATAAAAGAAAAGTAGATTTTTTTTTTGCTGTAAAACTGATTATATGTCAGCTATCAAAATATGTTACTCATTTACTGAAATACCTTTGGGTTACGTGTAATTGTTTTTTCTCGTAGGAAAAATTTGCTTTTTACCTATTCTGTTTTTCTGATCCGCTTACAAATGAATACATTCGAATATTTCCAACATTGCATTTGCAACTTAACTCTGCTTGACAAACAAAGTTTCTATTTGAATATACATAATAACGAAATTGAAAAAAAAAGAGAGTACTGAATTAATTGGATTTTTCTATTGAGTATGGTATGAAGCCATATTTCATTCTTTTGTTTGGCACGCATATTCATAAGACGTAAAAAAAAAAAGAAGAAGAAAAAAGATGAAATCATCTTCGTCTCGAGATGTAGATCTTTTATTCTTTGCTTTACATCAAGCTAATATACAATGTTCAGAGAAAAGTACTATGAGGTATGTTGAAAAATTATTCAGATATTGTTTATATGAATTATTATTTTTTTTAAATGAAATTTCTTTTTTTGTTTTTTGTTTCAAGATCTCAAATGAGTCGTGGTCTTTATTTTTACGACCAATTTACTCGTACATCTCATGTTGGTGGTATACATCGATATAAACGACATCCAGAAGAATTAAATCAAGCATTACATCATGTTCGAATTGCTTTAGCTGCTGAAGATGATCAACCAGTTAAACCAGACACAGCAACACCAACAACAACAATTAATCCTACACCTTCTCCAGTTAAACAACAACTTGGTAAACAAACAAATGAACTTCTTTTAAGAACAATTGAACGAAAATTAAAAGCACCAATTGTTCCTGATGCATTATTCAAAGACTTAGATTCATTATTTCAACGATTTGATGATAAATCTAAAACAGCTGTATCATCACCAACATCAAAATTTCCATCATCAATAGCTCCAAAATCTGCTCAATCTACTCTTCCTGATAATGAACAAGAACTCGATACAATGCCAATACAAGAAGCTGATGATGAAGATGAATTAATAGCAGCAACATCAAATACACCTAAAATTTCTTTACCAGGCTCATTAATTATTAGATTACATTCAACATGGACTGATCTTATTGAAAATACTGAATATAAATATAAAGTTATTTAAAAAATTTTTTTTTTATTATCAAAAATCTTTTTTTGTTTTTTCTAAAGACTTGGCAAACAAAAACTGGTGAAGATAATTGGCGTCGATATGTTGAACGAAAACGTTTAGAACAACTCAATGCTGAAAAAAATCGAGCAATGGCTGCTAGTAAACAAAGCAATTATCGTCAAGGAGCTTCTCGTACCGGACATAATCCTTTTACAAATCTTTCTCGTCAACAACAATTATTAAATCCTCAAATGCGTTCAAATCGTTCATTATCTCGTGTATCATTTATGAGTACAAATACTATTTCACAATTAGATCATATTAAAACATTTAAACCAATTCATCAAGGAAGTTTAGAAAGTTTAAATGAACCACTTAAAAGTGGAATTCATGTTGAATTTAAATTATCAACACAAGTTGATCAAACAAAACAACAACAACAATCACAAATACAAGCATTAAATGAACAAAAAGGTTTTAAATATTTGAAATTTTTTAAAATTATTGTTTCTTTTTTTGTTTTTTTTAGGTGTCATGTTTGATGTACCTAAACCACTTGTTGATGTACATGAAGATATTATTGCATTAACTCAAGCAAGATGTAAACGTCTTTTAGCTGAAACAAAACAAAGAATGTTTGTTGATAGATTTTTAAATTCATCTTTTTTTTTTCTTTGTACTTTATTTATTGTAAATAGACTTGCAACAGTACCAGATTCAAATATTCAAAATCCAAAAATATGCAAAGTTTGGTATTATGGTGAAAATCATCTTGTTAGAAATAAAAGCAATTTATTAACTTTAAATGAATTAGCTCGTTAGTTATTTCATATTGAATAAATAAAATAAAAATTTCATTTCTTTTTTTTTTTTTCTATTATAGGACGACAAAAATCAAAATTTATTTTTTCAATCTTACGAAGAGAAATTCCTGAAAAATATAATATTGATATTGAAATACCAGAAGTAAAACATAAATGTTATTTAGAAATGACTGATGGTTCAAGTCAAATTTAGTAAGTCAACAAACGCTATTCTTCTTCAATATGCAAATCGAATTCAACAAAAACTTTATTCAATTTTCTTTATATACAAGGTTCCGATAATTTGAAATTTGAGCAAAGTTTTTTCTGTCATAATTGAATAGAACTCGGCGAATTACCTCAAAAAACGTTGCTTTTGTAGCAGCACTTAGGAAACTTAAGTTAAGAAAAATCAGAGGAGCCTATAAAAATTCCAATACGCCAAAAGTATCAAGTCTCGGTAGCCTCAATATTTATTCGAATTGTTTTTTTTTATTTGACTCTTCATATGGTTAGAAGAAAAAATTATGCATAGTTTTTGGAAAATGTTGTTTGATTATTGAAAAAAATCGATTTCTTTCGATATGACAGCGAAACGTCATAAATATGGCTTTGTAGTTAGAAATTTTGACTGTCAGAACTTCAGTTCCAAATGAAACAGATATCACGTTGAACATCAGCAGAAAAATTTAAATCGAACATAACGCTGAATACTTAAAATAAGTTTTCGTCAAATTTTAGTTCTTATATTCTCGCACTATTATTTGCGAATATTCTGACATGTGCTTCCGCTCAGATCAAAATTTAATTTTAAGTATTAAATACACTATTCGATGGACATTCTTGTGATAATTCAAAATATAATATTCATTTCATTTGAAACTGAAGTTTTGATGGTGAAAATCTCGGAATACAAAACCATATTTATAACATTTTGCTATCATAGCGAAAGAAATCGATTTTTTTCAACAATTAAATAATATTTTTCAAAAAGCATGCATAATTTTTTTTCTCCTAACCATATGAAGAATCAAATCAAAAAGATATTCAAATACATATCGAGAATTGATACGGTTGACGTATTTTAGTTGTTTTTTTTTTCAATATAATTTTCCCAAGTTCCACTACAAAAACATCGTTTGAATATGTCAAAAATAACATATTTATAGACATCTCGAGAGGCTTTATCCAATGATGGCAAAAAAAAACATGACTCAAATTTTTGAATTGCTAGCATCTTATATATATATATGTATATAAATAGAAGTAGAGATAATTATTATGTGATTTAATCAAAACACAAGTGAAAAATTTTTTTTTTTCAATCCAGCATATGTAAATATTTATGACAATTATAAAACAATTCACAAATGATTCGAGATATGAACAAGTCAAAACATTAATACTGGAAATGATTTAACTTTCGTCAGCATAAAAAAAGAAAATCTTGTATTAGTACAAACTATTTTCCACTAGCATGGATTTGTCCTATTAGAGGCGATTTTGTCTAGAAGAAAATTAAAAGGACATGAAATCATATTGAGTACTAATAACACAAGTGTCTTAGTTAAAGACAAATTAATATAACTGATAAAAAAAATAAAAGAAACGGAGTTACAATCACTTATTTATTCATTGATTCACAAATAAAAAATTTAATAAGATATCTAATCTATAAATAAGCAAAAAAAAAATATTAATTCGCTGATAAAACTGTTTTTAATTGTTGTTTTTTTTTTAGTTATCCATCTGGTCGTTTGGCTGTATTACGTATTCATTCACCTAATTCCATGATACTCTTTTTTGACGATGTTGATATTTCAGAAAATGCATTTCTTGGTCTTGTTACATCTACTGGTAGTGTTCTTATAATGCAACCAACACTTCATGCTCGTTTTGTAACTGATAATCAACATGAACGTAATTATTTATGTAATGGTAAAACAGGTATTATTGAAAAACAAATTCAATGGCATTCAAATAATATTACAACACAATTAATTTCATCAAATGAACCTACAATACAAGATGAAGATGATATACTTCCAGCATTACTTGAAAGTACTATTCAATTACAATTAAATTCTTATATGCAACTTGAATATCATAATCCCACAAATATACGTTTTGCATTTGCATGTCAAAAAGAAGAATTTAAATTTCAATTAGGTGTTCAATTATCAACAATATCAGTTGATTTAACAAAAAAAAATCTTTTAGATAAAAAATTTCAATCAAAACCAAAATTATCAACAATTTTATCTGGTTCAATAAATTCAAATCAAATATCGAATACTTCAGAAAAACAACAAATACAAGTTGAAAGATTATTAGATGGACATGTTAATGTTAGAGAATTACCAATGATTAAAGAATTAAATATTTTAAGAAAACGTATTAGAAATATTTGTCATGATTGGCTTAAACAATGTCGAACAACATTAGGTAAAATAATAAAAAAAAACTAATTTTTTGTTTTTAATATTTTAAATATTTTTCAATTTCAAATATCTTTTCATTTGATTTTCTATTTCATCTTAGACGAATTAAATATATATTCAAAATGAAATAATTATGTTTGTAATAGATATAATTAACTTTACAGAAAAAAAAAAAATATCAATTTTATTTATTTATTTTTCTATAATAAAATCCCTAAACTTTTTCCTTTGATCCCTATAAATACATTTTCTTTTTATTTATCTTAATATTTTAATCATCATTATTATTATTTTTAGGTGTCATGGATATTGATTCATATTGTCTACCTGATTGGCCATCAGCATCAAATCAATTAATTGCTCCAATTATTAAATCTCAACAAAGTAAAAGTGCAAAACAACCTCGACATATAACAATATTAACAAAAAATGATTCAATAAATAATGAATTTCTTCAACCAAGTGAAAGAGAACAAATTATACGAACACATTCAGCAAACAAACCTCAACGTATAATTTTTTTTTTTCAAACTTATTTTGAAAAATAATTTATTATATTTAATTTATTTTGAATATTTTTTAGCAAATCTTATTGCAAATACAATTATGCAATTTATACCTCGTTCGGATAGTGGAAAAAGTATGAAACAAAAATTTTATGCAAAGAAAAATCGTTTATCAACAACTCTACCAGCTATTAAGTAAATATTCTAAGAAAAATCAAACATATTTTTCTTATTACAATCTTGAAAAATTAATCGACAATATTATTTAAAAATAAAGAAACTCTAGAGATTATATCATTCAGATTTCTATAAACCAAAATATTCAACTGTCTTGACAACGGGTATCTGTAAAAAAGAAATAATTTCACATCTACATTGTTGTTTTTTCTTGATGCACGAACAATCCATAGAAAGAAGACCGAGAAGAAAAATGTAAAGGTTAAGAATATGAGCTCTTCATCTATTAGTGCCACAAAAAAATCAACGAAGAACGTAGTCCGTTGGAAAATAAAATGTGGAACTCACATGTGTTTTTTTGGACTTATTGTATCAATATCAAGTACGTAAGATAAAAAGTCTCTAGTAGACTACAGTTGTGTTCCAAGAATAGTCGATCGCAAGCGAAAGCATCTGTTTTATTTATTTCTATATATCAAACAGAAATTTTTCTTTTTTTTTTGTGGAACTTATATATTTTCGAAGAAAATGGTGAGTATAAGTTTAAATTGGAGGATTTGCGGAAGGAGGAAGGTCAAATATTATTGGATATACTTTCCTAGCAATGGAAAAAGGTGTGTCAGTGATAACAGTGCTCAGATTGTTATGAAACTTTCTAGAATCTTCCAAAGTATTCTATGAATCTAAAAATTCTACTGTAGATTCTAACTACTTTAAATATTGTGAGTTTTGACATTTAATACAGCGAAAGGATCTTATATAGGACGATGGTATTATTATTCTAGTAGAGTTAGAATAGAGTGGACATACAAAAGTATGAATTAATTGAATTGTAAGTTTAGACAAAACTCAGCGAACGAATAAATCAATGTGTATAGCAGACTAATATAGTGATTGAGATGAAGAATAAAATGATATATGCTACTGTCTATGGCATGTATGGTAAATGTTATTATTTGGAGAAAACAAATTATGTATTGAAGATATGTCTGACAAATAGATAAGTTTTTCAGTATAACGACGTTAAATAAATCTAATAAACTGGTAGTATAATAATTCTAAATGCAAACATTTTCAAAATGATAAAATTTCAGAGTGTACCTATCAACTATAAAGATTGTTATAATTTTGATTTATTGGACATTTTTTTAAATAAATTATTTTAATCCTTCTGGCAATATATCATAAATTTATAATTGTCAGAGTTTGTAAATTCCATACTTTGGCTCATTATAGGATCGCACTGACAAGTTTCTTTTTAACTGGTGCTTTATGTTTTGTTTGTCCTGTTACTATTCGTTCGTTATTTTTCAGTTTCGTATTCTGTTTTTCTTAATTTAACATTATTATTTTAATCATCGATTTAACTAGCAAACAAGCCTATTGTACATATTCATTATATCTACAGCAGGTCTCAACCGGCTTTTTTTTTCACAAACTTATTTCAGCCATTCAATTTTTGAGGGAAACTTTGAAGTATTCTAGAGTTTTCTAGTATCAAGTTTAAGTCTTATTCTTAATGCCATTCAGTGTCTTTTTCCATTGCTAAAGAACTCTAAAAAAATTGAGTCTGATGTCCGTTGTACTCGGTTGCTAAAGAAACGTACCCAATCTAAGAATAACATAATCATTGGCTCCTAACTGTTGCTCCCTGTTGCTATGAGGGGAGTTTAAGTAACTGCAAAACCTGGACTTAAATCTTACATCATATTCTTTTTCGAGAAACGCAATATGAGTTCCACAAAAATAATGCAAAAATGCGAACTTCGTATGTGTTTCAGTGCTAACATATGAAGAGCTCATACTTTGGATTTATATATTTTTCTTCTTAACGTTTTTCTTATGATTATTCATAGATCTGGCACAAAGCAATGTATATATGACATTATCTCATTGATTCAAACATTTTTTGGCTAACCATTGATATTCGTAGAATCAGCTTGACTAGCTCTATTAAATAAGATTGTCACGAGTTGATTTGCGGATATTCATCAGTAATCACATATTTTTTAGATGCATCTATAGAACTGAAAGTATCATAGTCCATTTTTATTTTATGCATACTAGTAAATATTCAAAGAGAGATAAAGTGTGTATTGTCTATAGTTGACAAGTTTCTGTAAAGTTAAAAACTAATAGTGAAAATAATTTTTTTGATTTGAAATAGATCTAAATTAATGACTATCTTCTGTTTGATATTAAAGTAGGTAAAAAAATCTATCTATCAATTGTCTAAATTTCGTT